CTAACTAGCTGTCAAGACTTGCTTCTGGGAAATTTCCTAGACCTGGAGGCTTGCATTTCACTTGATGGGTAGCTGCATCTTTCTAGCCAGTCAACTTTAGACCCTGAAATCTCCCTGGCATCAGTCCTGTGTTTCTAGATACTGCCCATTAATTGCTTGTAATTAGACTGGTTTCACTTTCACAGTAACTCTCAATAATAATAAAAAAAAAGCATTATAATGTAGCCAGCTAAAGTACATAACCAATCCTTTCTGTTTTGTTCCTTATTACATATTTTTTCTTTGCAAATATTACCTCGGATTAAAGGATATGAAGTTGAAATTACAGAAAATCAGTGTTCATCATTCATCTTATCTATGAAAAGGTTATGAAAAGGTAATGAGAGCGCAGCTCCCTCTCATAGCTTTCATTCTTAACATTATTTTGGGCCAATTTCACCTGATGTAAATCAGTACATCTCCTAGCACTTCAGTGAAACAGTGCTAATTTATACCAGTTCAGAATCTGGCTTCCTTTAGTAATCCTTCGTTGCATCTAAGAGAAATAATCCCATTACTGATTTTTATACCAATGTAAACATTCAATTCTTTTTTACAGAACTAGAACAAATACACGTTCTTTTCTTTGACTGTTAGACAAAATAATTTAACAAGAACTTTTATAGCAGAATCACAGTAAGAATTTGTAAGAAAGTATTTTTAGAACTCTGTGCAGTTTCTATTTTTTTTTGATTCATCCAGAGTTTGTTTCCAAGTGATGTCCAATAGAAATATTCTGTGTTTGAACATTGAGAATACATGTGGATAGACAATTCCTTTGAAGTTATTTCAACCCTATGAGACCTTTGGTGATTTTTTTTGAAACCTTGATCTGTTCCTTAGTTGGACTGATAGTCATTTCGAAGATGCATTGCAGTAGGTTCAAAAAACTGGAAGAAAAGTTAAGAGAGAAGTTTAAGCTATGGATTGTCAACTGTGTAGTTAACCAACACAATCACTTGATTTCTAGCTGTCTCAACAGGCTTAGAATAGAACTGCAGTCCAAAGGAGAACCTTCTCAGAATTTGATATTCGTTACCTGATCTCCAAAGCTCAACTGTTAAGTACATGCAGCAATGACTATTTTCTCCTGAACATTATTTTTCCAGTGTTAAACTGAAGCATGATGCACAATACACACTGTAAGCTTTATGAGTATCAACAATCTGAAGCAAATACTTTTCCAGTTTTTGTTTCTCTGCTCTTAGTTGACCCCATGCATCATTGGCTTCTCATCTTCTCCTTCAGCCTGCTATGTAACTCCTTTTCTGCCATCATGCTATGTTCTATGTATTCCAATGATATCTAGGAGTTAGCACATTTACCACATTCAATTACATTTTACCTTCCGCCCCCAAACATAAAACCTGCCCCTTCTGCTTGTTTTTCTGCAGTTCATCATCAAAAATTTACCATAGTCTTCATGAGCTTAAATCACTCCACAGACCACATTCTGTGTTTTATTACATTAAAAACTGTAATATATTATGATACATATAAAATATTGAGACAGGTTACTTTAGAGAGGATATGTGTAAGAAAATGTGAGAACAGCATATGCATTATGAATGACATGGCAAACATAAACTAAGTTCTTATACCCTTGTTGTTAAAAGGGCACTTCTTACATTCTAAATCAGGCAAATTTTTTTAATTTTTATTTTTTTTAAATAAACCAAGCATGCAATTCACTTATCAAAGTCACTATTATAAATTAGTGTTCAGCTCAAGGACTTAGCATATTTAAGAATTTAAAAAAAAAAAAAGTATCACAAAAAAAGAGAAACATTTTTTTTTTTCCTCAGTTGTCAGGTTGCTTTTTTCTCCCTTCAAGAACTTCTATGTTTGGCTAATCTGGACATGTGTATATAGGTTTTTTTGTGTAGAGCTTTCTGTGGATAGCAGATATTAGTGTGCTTTACAGAAGAACATACAACATCAGAATATTCCTATTCCATTCTCCATGTATAAATCATGGGATGTCACATCCTCACACATTCCATCTAAATTAATTGCAAACAGACCTTGCGTACGTAGATTGTAAATCCTCTTAGAGTAATTTTAATGCTTTAATTTTTCATATTATAAATGGCACAGTTGTGCTGCCATAGCTAAACATCTGTTAACATTTCAGTTATAAAACCTTTTGAGAGAGGAGGACTTATCATACAAGTATCAGCATTATGTTTGGTCTAAAACATGGCATCTGTTATTTCAGCTAAGGATTCTTTCATATAAATACTTGCAAGTACTTTCTTTCCTCCACTTTTATGTTGTCTTTTGTTTATATGAGGTTCTAACAACGTGCTGTCTAGCAAAATGCAGGCAAAGAACTGTTGGCTTCATTCCAATATTTTTACCAATATAGCTGTTTTGCTGCAATGTTACTGCTACTCCACAGTGCAAAACAGTTTTTGTGTTGAAACATCATTTATGGATCAAATTGCACAGTGGATGTCTTACTGAATAAGAATGCTTACCCACTCATTCCATTAGAGAACAGAACTGTTTAATTAGATATCAAGGTCAGAAGAAGACTCCATCTCCTTCCATGTATTAAAAAGCATTCAGTTAAAGCGCTTAGTTTCAATACAGATTTTTTTTTCCATCCATTCTAGAGAATGCTGATATTTTGTTTAAAAAATATAATAAAGGATTAATTGTATAATGGCAATTTTCTGCTAAGCTTCCTGGGTGAGCTACATTTGGTTCATTGTATGTGTGGAAAAACAAACAGAGTTCAGCATAAGTTATCTTGTTATCTTCTCAATCCTGTCTGCTTTTATTAGAAACACTTTCTTTAGTATACAAACTTCCAAATTCTAAATGTGCTGTGTAATTAACATACTTTTAGATTACATGTACAGTATGAGAAAGGGTAACTGATCTAAAGTCATACAATGAGACAATGACTAAGAGGGAGGGTGAGTGGGAGGTAATCCAAGGAGTATTTTAAAAAATACTCAAACCCCACAGTGTCTTAGAAATATTAGGTAAATACACAGGAATGACTTCATTTCTGTAATGTGGACTGTTTACTTGAGCTATAAGAAAACTCATTACCAGTACACAAAAATATTACCAAAAAGCTCAGAGGACAGCTCTTCATCACATGCAACTGTGTCTTTACATTAGTAAAGCTGATGATCTGAATTCCGAACAAGTAGTTAAAAAAAAAAAAAAAAAAAAAAAAAAGATTTTTGCACTTTGAAGTCTAAGAAAGAGTCTGGCCAGAAGATAGTGATAGGAGTTAGACATGAACTTTCACTCCAGTTCTAACAGCCTGCTTTCACAGACAGCACAAAACAGATTAATGTAAAGCTCTTTGATTTGTGCTATATGCATTGCCCAAAGACAGTAGAGAGTTATTCAGCTTAGGAATCTCCACAGTGACAGGCTGGAAGGAAGTGACAAGAAATTTCTGCACAGGAAATTTGGTTGTTTCAGTGAGCTGATTATGTATTTTTTCCACTTTTTTAAACATAAGCCAAATAAACTCAAAAACAGCTAATATATTTGAAATACCACACAAAATGTACTCTTTTCGAAGAGTCAGATTCCATAATTGGATAACACTGAATCAATATATAATCTATTAGGCTTGAGGCTGACTTGAGCTAAAGTGGCCTTTAAGAATACCAAGCTTTGCTCACCTAACTTTTGTATCACTTCTGCTTGAATGGAAATGCTTACATATTTTTAAATACATTTTTAAAAGCAAAAACAATCCTTATTTTCCTTGAAAGTAACAACTTTCAAGGATAAAACATATTGAATTAGAAATCTACCAACGTGCATCACAATCATTAGTTACAACTGAGCACATGAACAGGAGATTGTAATTTATGAAGAAAAGCTTGAGCAACACTTTACATAACTGTTTATATTCTTTGTCATTTGAAACATCCCAGCTGTTAAAACTGTTCTGTTCTATAAATCTTGATGGTGGATTTTTTGCATTCTATAATAATTGCTGCACTTGTGAACAGGTTTGTGAACTTACAAAAAGGGAATTTTAAAAGTATTTACAGTCAGCACTATGTCCTAGTTCTTAGAAGTATTTTTAAAATCTAGTTCTACTCTAACTATTAATATACAAGGTTTAGGTAAATATTTCATCACTATGAAGGTAAAATGTTCCAAATATTTCTCTATCTAAAATGAGAATGGTTGAAGGAAATAACTGGAATTATGGCAAGCTACGCAGGCTGAGAAACTGGTCTCTAAACAGAAACTGTAATGATTATACATGAGCTTTTTTGATACTTCCCTTCTCTGATTGAGATAAGTAATGTGCAGACATAGTCAATATTTTAATAGAGGGATCAGTATCTCTGGCACAAATGCTAAACTTAGCATTGGGCAGATTTTGAGTGGCCAGGCGTTAGCAGCTGTGACCTCTTGAAAGAGACATCTGCAGAACATTTGCAAGAGGTAGTGCCTCCTATCTTCCTGCCCTTCTGATCTCATATAAGCTGCTTGGCAACACACTCTCTCTTTGAGAGACAGCATTTTCCAGATCATACTAGTAGCAAAAAAATCAGCAAAATTAGAGGCTACTAGCCTCTGCTTCAAGTAGAGGCAAGATGCCACCAGTCAGCTGATCAGCGCTGTCTTGTTAGTTTGAACTGCAATATCTCCTGACTCTCCAAGAGATTTCCCTTGGCCTTCTTTACCTCTAATCTGGGAAATAAAGGCAGAATTTGCACACCACTCTGATCAGATTTCCAGCCTATTTTGTTATTGATATAGGGACTTTGTGCATTCAGAACTGTCTAAATAATATCATTATATCTGTAGCTGTCCTAAATAAAACTAAATTGACCAAACATATGGACTGCAATGTACAGTGAGATTCAAAAACTCTATGGCAACAAGGCAAATGAATTTATTATTTTTTTTTTTACCAAGGAGAAAGGGCATCATTAACTGTATTTCGACAAAAAAAGAAAATCAGAGAATTAAAGCATTAAAGACTAAATTTTAATAACTGTTTGAAAGTGATAAGCTAATCACTGACTGATTATTCTAGGCACACTCAGTTTGCAGGGTACACATCTCTTCTGCACTTCATGGACATCTAAAGGCACAGTAACTCTTAGCCTGATTCAAACATGCAGAGAATTTAGCAACTTTATCAGAATAAAGTAGTTCCATTTTATGAAGAAACATGGAAAATCAGCATTAAAATGTATAAAAACAGGGACTCTCAATTTACAATGTATGCTGTAATTGTCAATAGTTCCTCACGCTGTAGATACATATTTAGAATAAATTACTTATTTTAGTAGACTGCTATTGTGTCATTGAGAAAATCTTAGCAGATATTAATGTTCTTATCTCCTTTATTGTACTGCTGCAACAGATAATTTAACAGATAACTTTACCATTCCTTGCTGTGGACAGGAAGATGAAGAATTGGAAGATTTAAGATTGGTATGTTTGCTGAGAATGGTGTCATACGTTGTCTTACACAATTTCCTATGTTCTGCTCAGTGTAACATAGTAAAGAAGTTAGTGTTTACATTTCTCACCTTCAAATAGCCTTTCTACAGTTTACCGAGTGCCACTGTTATTGTAAGTGACAGCTGATTTTTAGATCAGTAAACTTTCCTCAGACAGAACTGATTAACTGCAGTTGCCAAAGCAAATGAACAGTTCAAATAGTATTGGCTAACTAAGCATGGTACATATTACAAGCAAGTATTCTGAAATTCTACTACTCACTTCCATAGTGTCTTTTGAAAGGTAAACAACCCAGTATACCAGGTTGAATCCTGCAAATGCCACTGGGAAGAGGATCCTAGAATACTGGTCTATTTTACTTGTGCCTCCAATAGGTGGTGGTGCTGGGGTGGCTGGTGGAGGAACAGACACTGGTTGATATTGGGATGCACTATTTGATATTATGCTGGCTTCAGGAGATTGATCTGCCTGAGACGCTACAGAGTTTGCTCTCTTCTTCAGGTTACAGTTGGAGTCAGAATGCTGTGGAGGAAAAAAAGAAAAAAAAGAAAAAAAAAAGGTTGATTTATGGCTACAAGAGTCTTAGGTCATGTGATCATTACATTTCTCTCCATCATTTTACACAACTTTCTGATTTGTTATTTTTTTATTGCTCTGCTCTAGAACAACCTTAGGAAACCACAAAACAATACTAATCTACAGAGGTACATTTGTGGCTTTACTGTAAAAAGATAAAAGACCATATGCTCTCTATATCGCTAACATGTTAATTAACAGGAACAACGAGAGAAAGAAATAAAAGAGGAGGAGCTGTAAGGAAAAGATGATAATGGTGTACCTAAATTTTAGTATATTTGTGTGACTGAAGCTTTTGTAGGTATGAAATCAGCTCCAAACATGTATGGGCTGGCTTCAGTAGTCTTTATTGTGTAAGCCCATTGACAAGTTTTGCTAAACACTCACTTGAGCTGACTGTCACTCTGTTACTGGTTCCCAACCTAGTTGCTGATAAACACTTATCATATCAAATGGGAGGACACAGAAGTTCAGAGACCTTGCTAGCAATTCCTGCTGCTGCTGCTGCCACCACCCAGCATGACTATTAGTAATGTGAATGCGTGGCAGCAGCCATAAGATTTTACTGATAGCTAAGAAAATAGAGAAGAATGCCTAGAGTGTCATGGTGCTGTTTATTGTTTTGATATGAAGTACTCAAGATTTCTAAAAATAGGGAGCAGTATAAATACCTTTAGATGCCACCAGGCAATGGAACATCTAACATTTTGGCTGAGTTTATGTCTAAAGCTTCATCAATAAAAAATTACAAGGATTATTCCCAGATTACTGATGTAACCATTGTACAACATAAACAGCTATTCTTGGGTTTGAATAAGCAGAATTTTTGGTCAGCAGAAGTAGATGACTGAATGAATGAAGTTGATGAGGGAAATGTTAGGTGATGCAAATAATTTACAATACACAGTATATTTATATATATATTTTTAAGTGGAATAGTAACATTCAAATGGTTTTGAGGCAGCAAAATTCTGCTAGACGTGATGTTTCTAAAGTCATTCTTTGGGAGTGATTTAGTGACAATCATTCACCTATATGGAGCCCTCTGTCAGCATTTTTGGGATTTATCCTGCAGGATTTCTATGCACGGAAACAGGCTTTAGTCAGATAAATGATTGCATCATTACAAGGAAAAGAAACATTTATTGCAGTACATTGCCTATACGTGTATCTGGGCCAAAATTTCTAGATAAAAGACCAGCCTAGCACAGCTGGTATCATATGTATGATTTCAAATATAATTTTAACAGGAATTACCCTTTTAGCAATATTACTGCCGAAGTATGAGAAGAGGTTACATTACTACACTAAAATGCTAAGTTCTGCTCATGGATGAAAGGACTGGTATCCAGAAGAAATTAGGGAGAATGGATTCCTCATAGATGAATTTAGTCTATGTAAAAGGCTCTTTTTGTACATATGTTTTTCAACTATTATACTCTTTTTTCTTTTTTTTTTTTTCTTCCATATCCTATCATACCTACCACTTGTTATAACCCCCCATCTTCAACTCTGATAGCAATTCAATGATCACTATCATGTTTTGAATGGGTATCAAAGGGCATTCATATTCTGGAGCTATACCTATCTAGAAAGCAGTTATTTGTTTTTGTATTTTCCAGTTACACAGCAAGCAACAGACAGATTTAAATGGAGGATGATCTACAGATGTGTCACAGAAACAGAAAGAGGGTTATCCATGTCCACTTGCATTAATCATAATAGTAATCCCACATTTTAAGTAGACTTACTGTCAGAGCCTAGGCCACTGTTTTTCTGTCAAGTAGCTATTCTATTTTGCTTGTATGCCCTGCTTTGAACTCAATTGTCAGAGTTGTAAGGTAGCTTTTTTTTTGCTTGCAAGATAGCTTGACCTTTTGTGGAGAATGAGTGGTTGCTAAAAACATAGTTGCTGAAGTGAAACTTAGACCTTCTTATCTGCAATACATGTATTGTGATACAAAGAGGGTCAAATTCTGCTCTGGATCACTCAAGCATGAATTAGAAGTTACTGTTCTGAGGTAGAGTTAAAAAAATTGTAGGCATAGCAGATGTAGCACAGGGTCAGTGGATTATGTTGAATAGTGGACATATTTTAGAATGCAGAAGTACTAAAATCATTGTGATCATCCACACAGGCACTTGGAAAAGGGTAATCCTGGTTTAAATTTTATTTATAACATTTATTAAATCTTATGTGTTGCTGTAGAAGGAGGATGATCTTGATGTGACTTCAGGAACTGAGATAGAGTTTTCAGGAAAAGAGTCAGAGACAGGAAAATCTGGAGTCAGTGTGTATCCTCAGATTTGGGGAAGACACTGACTAACTTGATTACATGCATGCTATGGGGCCAATTTGGATCCATTTCTATAAATGGAGTGATATTAATGATTACCTAAAATAGCTTGTTCCAATATTTGGGAAGGATCAGCACATTTTGCTCTTTCAGGAATGCCACGGTTTTTGTGTTATGCTATTCAGGTGCTTATATAAATCTTTAAGGAAGTCCCTAAATAACTTCTTACACTAATACACTTGAGGGCCAATCCAGAAAGTCAGGGTCAGGAATATATTTTTGTCTACCACTATGCTACCCAAGATACAGAAGCCTAAATTTATTTTGGATGTGTAATGAAGTTGTTTCTCAATTTGGCAGCTGACAGTAAACCAGACTTGCTGCCACAGGACAACAACACATACTTTTCATTAGAATTTACTATTAAACCAAGAGGAAGAAACAGAAGGAAGAGATCATTCTTTTGAAACTATTCTTAAAAGATCTGAGTTCTGAACAGCAGCTACAGCAATTTTTTTTTTTTTGTTATATTTAGATTTAACCCCTACCTTTGAGAAAGATTTCTACCTACAATGACATGAAATTTTGGCAAAACACAAAACATATAAGACAGGAATGATTAGCCTATTTCAGTTCTGATTTTGCACCATTCATATAGCCAAACAGTGTAAAACAATGAAGACTGTTTTACAAATAGCAAAAGCAACAGCAAGAATCATGAGACATAGCACATTGGGTCGTAATGAAATAATATGTTATGATAAGTTACTGAACCCTGCTTCAGAAGAGTACTTTTGCACTCCTAGAGACTGCTAGTCCCATTAGGCCATTTAACTTGTCACGACGTATGGCTGCCTAGTGACACAGAACAGCTTGCAAGATCACTGCTTAATGTGAGGTGCCATAAAACTGGACTAGACAAGAGATTGGCACGTATATGGGCTAGGAAGGTATAGTCTGAATTCTGTTAAGGTTTTGCAGCTCAGCTACCTGATCCCCTAGGAAGCTCACAAAGTAGTCTTGTCTGTAAAGGTACTGATGATCTCTCAAAACTCTCATCAATATCACTAGAATTTGCTTATGCTCAGAACATCTCAGAAGGCTCTCAGTAAATCACTCTGCTTCCAGATATACAAAATATAGCGTATATAATTTTAGGGTAAACAGAATTCTTTGTCTCCTTTTTCTGTTTTCTATAGATGCTAATTGTGACGAATGCACTCAAGAGATTTCTGAAATATATATAAAATTCTCTACAGTTCTGTTTTCCTTTATACTGCAGATGTGTATTCTTGCTATGAGTTTAGCTTATGACCTAGCAGTAAAACGAGTATCTTATGTATGCATTCAGATACTGGCTAATTTTAAACAAATGCATGCCCTTACCCCTCTCTCTTAGTCACTTATGTCCCTTATTGCTGTGAGCACCATGCAGTACAGAGAGGTTTTTGAGAATAAATTCTAAAAGTTTAGACAAAAAAAAAAATATTATCTCTCCTTTAAAAAAGTATTAGATTGAGACTATTAAATTTTGATGATATCACAAAAGAAAACAAAAACAAACAAAAATCTAGGACCAAAACTCCATCTTTGTACAAAGCAGAATAGTAAATTGAATACATAACATTCTTTTTCCCTGCCCATCTAATTTGTAGATACAGTAGTAGATTATACAATAAAAACATTCATATTATCTACATAAAATCACATGCTGGTAACCTAGCTCCCAAAAAGGGAGCTAAGCATAGTTTAGGTATTTAAATCCTTCTTAGACTTTGCTCTGCATACATCAGTGTGATTTGTAAGACCTCTGGTTAGCTATTGATCTATATACAGCACCTTGCAGCAGGGAAATTCACCACATTGTGTAAGATCTTGGGCATGTACTAAGGTACCTCAATCTTTACTGTCTTGTGCAGTTTAAATCTCCATCTAATGCCAGTGATACGTTATATCCTGACATTCCTTTGCATATCTCACCTGTGGGGTCTGATTTAAAAAAAAAAAAAATATATAAACATTTGTAAACAATGTTCTGCATAATTAACAGCTGAATTTAGTTTAGATGTCATTAATAGTTCCTAGCTTTGGGCATTTCTTTAGGCATTCTAAATTTTCTTTCCTAGGCATATTATTAGTAATTGCTACAAAATTATTTTATTTCTGCTTTACCCTAGTAAAAGGGTTAAATCAATCAACTGGAGCATGGGAAAGTCATATTCAAAATTTTTCTTAACCTTCACAGACTGAAACTCATCTCTCTGAAATTATAGCCTAACCTTCAGGTGAACATGGGTAGGGGAGAATGATAATTTGTTATTCTTTTCAATATGAATATACCATAGCAGAGTTTCTCCCTAAAATTGAGATGTACCATGTCAGAAAACTCATATAATTAGCACAGAGCCTCTGTCAAAAGATATATTTGTGTATGTTAAATTTAAGTGAAGTCGACTTTGGGCTTTTAAACTTAGCCAGTGTCAGTCCTGATACTTGATGGGAGTCTGAGTTGGGAGTAGGAGATAAGGAATCAAAATTCTGCCTGTTTGTAGTACAAACGGTACTACAGAGCTTGTATTTTTCATATTTCCATTATTTGACTGACTTTGTTTTTACTTCCCCCTGCAAAAGAAAAGGATTAGACTTCAA